ATCAGAGATCTTCTCCTCCTCAGGTGGGTCATCTTATACACAACAGGATGGCATTCCAGGGAATCCTGTTTGAAATGACGCCCAGGTGAATCCTATCTTCCCCCATCTTCTCACCAGACCATGCAGGGAAAGGTCGTTTGGTGGAAGTTAGAGACTTTGGCTAGTAGAGCCACACTGAGTAATTCAGTGGCGCCGCACAAATTATTGGTGAGGGTTTTGCTTTCCCAGGAGAATGTTGCGCATTGAAGGTTTAATGTAATTTAGCCTGTGATCGTCCTGGTAGACCCCCTCACCGGGTAGGTGTGCAGTTGGTCCTCATTGGTTGATGCTGTGTTGTGAGGTGCCACTGAGTCGGTCCCAAGGCAAAGCAGCCCGACACCCAACAGAACAGAACCCTGTGCCCGCTCCGAGGTCATCTTCATAACCGTACGTTGGAGCCCGTTGTTGCAGCCAGTGTGCAAATCTATCCCCGAGGGCCTTCCTCTTTTTCTCTGCTCGGGTCCTTTACCTAGCATGATGTCCCCGTGGCCGATCGCCCGATAACATGTCCAAGTCTCATCGTCGTAGATTCTAAGGGGCATTCTGGTTGTACTTCTTCCCAGACAGGTATGTTTGTTGTTCTGGCAATCCACGGTATTTCTGGGACTCTTTGCCAGCACCATCATTCAAATGCATCGATACACCCGCAGTCTTCCTGTCCAATGTTCACATGCTTATGAGACCATTCAAATACCATGGCTTGGGTCGGGTGCACCTGAGTCCTCAAAGTAATATCCTTGCTCCGTGATGATCCTGTAGCAGATTTGCCCAGTGCTGTGGGAGGAGGACCTTATGATGTGGTCGGAAGAATCTTGAGGGCTTGCGGAAGGGTCAAATAGATGGGGATTCAACAGATGTGGATTCAAACTCGAGCCCTTCTTCCTAGCGCTGTGACTTCCACACCTCAGCGTGGTAGCCTCTCTAGCCTCAGTTGGCTCACTTGTCAACCAGGGACAATCCCACCTGCCTATCAAAGTGTCTACGGGTCCTTGATAATGTGCAATAAGGCAGCATATGTGGTGTGTAGCACCTTCTCAAGGGTGGCTGTACGAGAAATACTGTTATCGTCATGAAAACACCATGGTCTTTGATTCTGCTGGGAAGACTTCTTCAGGTCAGTGCTTCCACTGGGCCCTGCAGAGCTTAGTCATCGCCTCTGACTGGCTTTACTTGAAAGACAGGCTTTGTTTCGGTCGGTGTTAAGAACATAAGAGGATTTCAAGTGGAAGGACTTGTCCTTGCCACTGTGCCCCAGCCCTCACCCCTTTCCTCTCCTGCTTTTTCCACCTGCCATAGTCAGAACCTCCGAATCACCACCCTCCCTCCTGTGTGCCCACCAGCTGAGCTGCAGCCCCTTCACGTTCTGCCCTGACCCCTTCTTAGGAGGTAGGAGTGGGAGGCGGTTTCTAGGAGAGTTGGAGAGAAGAAGCCAAAGTGTTGAGTTTAGTATTTTGTAGTATTGGATTACATCTAGTTTGTCACCAGATAGAATCATCATCTACATCTCTGAAGACTTGGTTTGGTTTTTGTTTAATGGGGGGCAGGGGGGAATGTGTCTGGTGAAACACTTTGAGGTAGAGGAGACATGAGCCGCAGAGACAGCGCAGTGGTGACTCGTGTTTCCCTGCCCTTGGCTGAGTCACAGGGCTCCACGGGCAGTGGGAGCGGGCGTGCCTGGGCCAAGCGGAGGCTCTTCCTTACAGCAGAGCAAAGAACTCAGGTGCACAGCCCTGGGTTCAAATTTCAGCGCTGCCCACTGCGGTAACTGCAACGTCATGGAAGTTTCTTAAATTACTTCACTTCCTCCAGCCTGACCATCTTCGCTTGTCAACATCATGAACCCCCGGGGCGGAGTTGTGCAGATTACGCAAGATCCTGTGTGTAAAGTGCTCAGCACAGAATAAGCATTTGCTGGATGTAAGCTATGCCGTGGGTACTTTGTCAGATTGAACGTGGATTCTGTTTTTATCGGACAGAAAGTTCCAGAAAGAACCATCATGTCAAGTTAGCTGATCGAGTCCTCTGCTGTGATTTTTTGTCTGTACACTTACTCAGTTATGGAGACAGGATTGTGAACTCAGTGTCTTAAAGTTCAAGGGACATATCTTAGTCCACAGAGGTTGTGGAATGTGTGTGTGTGTGTGTGTGTCTGTACATTTTTCTGGGGAAAGGTTCCATAACTTTCCTCATTCTCTCAAACACACCGCGTTCCCTTTCAGAGAAGAGAAGGCTGGAAGCGGGTGTTGGGAGACTGCGGAGGGATTCGCCCGGCATTCGATCAGTTTGTATGATTTCATGTTTGTTCTCACTGCTGGCTTACCAGCCCTACCTCTTGGCTTTGTTTCAAGAGTTTGGATCCTAAAGTTAAAATAATATTGTAAGAAAGTGCCCTGAGGAAACATACTAGGCTGATTCTAATATCTTCAACAGATCTTTTCTCTTCTTGGCGGTCTTTCTGAGCATAAAGGAGAATCTGGAGAGAGGTGCTAGTTTAAGTCCTGATTGCAGCGCGCCATTAAGTCGATTCTGACTGCGCAGCAACCTCGCAGGACAGAGGAGACCTGTTCGCCCCATGGGGTTGTCTAGGCTAACGCTCAGATGAGAGCGTTGGTCAGGTCTGTCCTCCCCGGCGTGGGGAGGCCGCTCCCCAGACAGTCGCTGATAATGGCCAGCAGCTAAGCGCCTCACCACCACCCCTGCCAGGACTGCGTTGACATCCCGCTCAGGGACTGGGTTGGAGAGCACAGTTCAGTTCAGGAGGCCCCGTTTGATCAGAGAGCAAGGCTGGGGCGGTCTCACTTTCTGAGAGTGCTGACACTCTGCCTAGAGAGTTGGCACTTTCTTCCTTTGTTTATTTCATCATTTTATTGGGAGGTTCTTGTGAATCTTATAACAACAATCCATCATTCAGTTGTCTTAAGCACACTTGTACATTTGGTGCCATCAACATTTCCAAAACATTTTCTTTCTACTTGAGCCCTTGGTATCAGCTCCTCTTTTTCCCCCTCTCCCCCGCCCCACACAAATCCTTGATCAATTATATATTATTATTGTTATTTTGTCTCTTACATAGTCCGTTGTCCACCTTCACCCACATTTCTGTTATTCATCCCCCTGGGGAGTGGGCTATATATCCAACCTTGTGAGGGGTACCCTCTTTCTCCCCCTTCCCCTTGGCACTTTCTTCTGGGAATGTTTACTTGAAGGCAAGAGCCGAGGCCCAGGACAGTCTGCTGGGACAGTGTGTCCTTGCCTCCGCTTGCCTCTGTGCTGGGGGCTCCGCCGCTTCACCTGCTTCCACTCTGAGCAGCAGCGGCCGGCCGGCAGAGGGAAGGCGGCTCATCCAACTGATGTCTCGTGCAGCAAGTCAGCCTTTGTCCTTCTGGCACGGAAAATGGGGTTGGAAAAGTCACCTAGCATTTTTGCGCTCCTATAGTTTTGTAAGCTTGTGCAATTTCTGAGAGTTTATCAGATAGCATGCCGTTTCCATATGAGTGATTAAATACCGTGTATACTCGTGGATAAGCCGAGTTTTTCAACACATTTAAAAAAATCATTTTATTGGGGGCTTGTACAACTCTTATCACAATCCATGCATCCATCCATTGTGTCAAGCACATTTGTACATTTGTTGCCCTCATCATTCTCAAAACATTTTCAGCACATTTTTAATGCAGTTTCTGTGGTAAAATTTGGTGCCTCGGTTGATATTCAGATCGGCTTATACTCAAGTATATACATCAGAGTGTGGTCTATTTTGGTGAACACATACTAATAGAGCCACTTTTATGTGGATAGCTGTATTTTAGATGATGTAACAAGGAGCCCTGGTGGCGTAGTGGTTACACATTGGCCTACTAACTACAAGGTCAGAAGTTCAAAACCACCAGCTGCTTCAAGGGAGAAAAACAGAGCTGTCTACTCCCGTAGAGAGTTACAGTTTCGAAACTCACCAGGGCAGTTCTGCCCTGTCCTATAGGGTTGCTATGAGTCGGCATCAACTTGACGGCCATGAGTTTATTTTGAGATGATGTGGTTTTATCTACTTGTACTTCCTGTTCATTCAGACAAGGTCGAGTCAAAAAGTATTGCTATAAGGCCCTAGAAGCATATTTAAACCCAAATGTCAAAATGTGACCCTAATGGTTCTGAACGGTCCTCCGAGGGCAGTGTTCCTATCTCTCCCCCAGAGGGTCCTCTGCTCTTTGATGGACACCAACATCACAAGGGCAGTCTGGGTATCCTCCAGGGCCTTCACCTGTGGTCCTTTTCAATGATCTTGGCATTTGGGGAATGCAGAGAAGCCTGAGGAGGCGAGATTGAGGGCTGTGGGGTGGGCAGGGTCAGGCCTCCCCCCGACGTTTCCGTAGGACAGCCTTGCTGCTTCTCCGCGGAGGAGCACGGCCGTTGTTGTGACAGAGCAGTTTTCCCCACACCCACCGCCCTGGCCTTCTCCTCCCCAACGGACGCGGCTTGCCCTTCTCCAGACACGTCTCCCGTACGCACCCGTGGTCACCCGTGTCTGAACATGCTATCACGATGACGCCTTTGGAATTCCAAGCAGCAGGCACCACAACCAGAGCCTCCCGCTCTGCCTCGGATTCACCTGACCCAGAGGACGCCCTCAGAAGCCACTGCTGTGGCCGGACCTCGTTATTTTGAAGGAACCCTACGGGATTAGTTGAGTGCATCCCTGAGAGAAATTGTCTGCAGCCATCCCCTGATTCCACAGACATGCTCAAACACATCCTGCTCAGGATAAACCCTTGTGTGCATGAGCTAGAACCCTAGTGGTAGCCCTTTCAGGCTGACCTCACATCACAGATTGAGCTTACTGGAGGAAAACTGCCCAAGTATTGAAACAGAAAAGCTCAACGATTAACTTAGCTACTAAAAGTAATCCTATGCTTGGTTGGGGCCTCTGTGTCATGAAACTTAACTGTGTTTAATTTTCCCAGCAGAACTCCAGGAAGCAAAAGCTCCCAGCCCATCCATTAACCGGCAGACCAGCATTGAAACGGATAGAGTTTCTAAAGAATTCATAGACTTTCTCAAGACCTACCACAAGACAGGCCAAGAAATCTATAAGCAGACCAAGATGTTTCTGGAAGGGATGCATTACAAAAGGGTGAGTTGAGAATAAGCCTTTTGGAACCCTACCACTGTGGAGTCAGGGCCAGGCTCGATGCTCCTCTGCAGCTCTGCCTTTCTGCCCTGCACGGTAAAGTGATGAACCGGGGAGCAGACCCCGCCCCGAGCCAGGTTAGAACTCGAGGCCCGGCCTAGTCCTTCTCCCCTGCACCTCACTGGTGCCGGGACCATGTCTGCGTGGAAAGGCCGGCCTTCCGGAGTGCAGCTTCAACTGTGGTGCAAACTGCAAAGCCCTGACTCCAAGCACCCTCTGTGACTCAGTAGCATTGCTGCTCAAGTGCATGTTCTTTGTTGCTACATTTTGGTGTTGCATTTAGACATGGAAAGGGACTCGGGCAGGTGTCCAGCTTCAGGCCTTGTATTCCCTAGACCGAGAAGCTGAGAGCCAGAGAAAGTAAGAGACTCTCTCTCCCAAGGTGGCACATCTCAGACCCAGACCGTGTGCTTTCTGCACGTGTGTCTCCTCCGACACACACGTTCGGTTTTCAGTGACTGGCAGTGGAAAGCTGCCCTTACGGGGACTCACTTGGCATCTAGTGATTCATTCTCCTGTACCATATTGCAGCCAGCACTCAAGATCGCCCTTCAGCATTCCTCTGTGACCCGAGGAAGCCCTGCAGCGGAAGGAAGAGGGAATTAGAAAAGCAGCATGGCGAGGAGCCGCATAGCTCTCTTCCAGCTGCGGCCAGGGGTCACTGGGCTAAAAGCAAACTGGGCTTTGGCCAAAATCTGTCTTTCCTGCTCTGTAG